ACTAATAATTTTAGTATTATTAAATCTGTCTTTTATTTATATATTTTGATGTAAGTAGTAAGTACCTATTATAATTGATAAAGCGCAAGTTTTGTGAAATATCAATATTTTATTATTTTTTTTCATCTTATATTAATATTATATTTAAAATCTTATTTTATACACATGAACATATTTTATTTTATTGTATTTACTAATTTTAATAATTTTTCCAAGAATTGAGTTATAATATTTAAGAGATCATTTCAATWAAAATGTTTCACTATCCTATATACACAAATCGAATATAGTTCAAAGTATAGTTAAAGACTACTGATGTGTAAACATGTGAGTTCAAATACGTTCAAAATCAAAAAACAATATGCGATTTTGTTTATGATCTGAATTTAAAAAATCTGAAAAGAAAAAAATGGGGTACATACCGTAGTTTTTCCACCTTGAATTGATACGAACTCAAAGTTTGTGCATCAATAAGAAAAAGTTTCATGGTACCTCRAGTGTAATGATCAGAAGAAGGATAAATTTTAGTGTTTTCAATGAAAAGATTAATTGTTTTAAGTTTGGAACCAGAAAATAGCTTATGCCTTTGCAATTTGTACTSATATGCATGAAACAATTGGTTTATGATAGTTTAAGTATAAAATGTCATTCATTTTTCTGGTTCAAGTGTTTTCAAACTACCTACACGAAAATATGGTGTCAGTTATACTTTTTAAATTAGTTATTGTTACATTCTGGTTTATATTCATTTAGTGTTTCATGTATAGRATGTAGATATTTAATGAGCCGTTTTACCTCTTCTTAAAAAGTTTCCATTGATGTCCCTCTCCAATATAGTGCTTATCGTTGGAATATTTTTATAGTCATTCCCAAGTTCACCAGATTCACTCAAAATTTAAAGGAGGTGAACGAAGTGTAAACATTTTAAAATTTCATCGATTTTTCAACTCAGAAAGTACATTCTGTTTTTTTGGCAAAAAGACACACGTGTCCATTAGAAGAGCAAACATAACCGAAGTTTAATGGTAAGTTCCGATGCTTCAAAAGTTATAGTTACATTGGTTATACGACTTATACGCTGATCAGATCAAGATAGAGAAAAGATTCGTATACCGATATCTAAGGTGTTTACACATCAAGAATAAGTTTACCTGTGTTTTATCAGATTTTTTATAAAATATAATCTAGTATTAAAGTTTTCAGTTATTAAGAATAAATAAATTTCAAAAAATTAAAKTATTAAAAAAATCTTCTGAATAAACATAGATTATKTATGTAGTATGTATAATAAATTATGATGAGTGAACACAGAAAGAGGTTTTAAATATTTCATATKTGTGTATAACGGAGAATACATTTCATTATAATATTGCCTTAAACTTTCTTCACACGATCACTTTAGGAGTTAAACATTTAAAAAATTGTATGTCTACATTTCTAGTATTGCTATATTATTATATAATAAAACAGAGGTTAGAGCAAAACACTTATGTTGATTTCTTCAGTGTTTTATACACACATAAAACATTTTTTATTTAAATATAAATATACACCATAATTTTAATTCTATGGAATGGRTACCTACAAAATACTATCGGCTTAACAAGTTAGTGGTCTATTTGAATGTCAATATTTTCCATAAACTATAAAATATTTATCGATTTATCTAACTTTAGACTTATTGTATTTGATTGAATGCATATAATTTGAACATTKCCGATCCAGTTGAAGATAAATTAATTGTTTTGTCTCTGTCTATATAAGGAAGTTAAAAGGTTCAGAAAATCCTTTGAACTCATGCATTTTATGTAATCCAAAAGTAAGTATGGTTCTTACAACTATTAATCTCTCTTTTGAACAACCAATCCCGTCTACAATACGAACAATAAGGTCCACCGCTATTCTATTTCATTTCTTACTTCTCTTTTACGTATTTGGATGATAAATGTCTTACCAACACCTTTAAATATATTTCTGTTATATCATTAAAATATGTATGTACCATAATATGTTAAAAAGCCAATGGTCACGCTATCGAGGTTTTCTTCTTATTAATAAAAATAAATAAATAAATAAAACTATAATAATTAATGTCGTATGGTTTATATMATATAATATTTTAATCTTGAAATATTATAATACATCACAATTTATTGTAGTTACGTGATATTTTGTAATAAATTGGGTGATTATTAAGGAAATTCTCAGTTGTTCAAGTGGTTTTATATGAAATTTAGTTAAACTAAAATATATGACAGATGTATTTCGATTTGGAATTGTATTTAACTGTTTGTTTAAGCTCTAAATYGTAGATCAAAGTTAGGTTAGTTTAACTAAGAACGTTTATAATAATTTGGAGTGTTTTGAAATTGGAAAGTCTGTTATAGGATCTTATTTGATAGTTTGGCAGGATCCGGGCAAATGCACTGAACTTCCAAATCGATTTGAGAGTAGATTTGTTTGTAAAATTAATTTGATCCTCACGTTTTTTTTTGAATATAATGTCCATACGTCAATTTTATTCAACCATAGGTTTCAGAATATTCATAATACAAATATATTTGTACCTAATAATAATTTATTTCTTSTTACATATTTTGCATTTAAACGAATATCGATAAATTAAATATTATTTAACCACAATAACTTGTACCGTGTTATAAAAATGTTACTACACAAAATAATCCTTAGAAATTTTATGTGCCAATATTTTATAATAATTATACGTATGCAAAAAAGCTAAKCTTTTTTCTCCAATTTTAATTGTTTCGTGTTGAATTTGTTAATGCGGTTGAAAATTGTGATTTACAATTTACATCATATCTTAACATGTTTGAAATTTCACTATTTTTGTTTCACGAATCATGAACATTCACAAGAATCCACCGATGCCAGTTTATTGGTAATACATTCTAAGCTTACAAATACTAACGAAAAACTTGTTCTATTTTCTGTACACCTACGCGTAGCTAGGTTGTATATTTATACGTTGCTATTAAATTAACAATAAGTGGCTTGTCGTTTATGAAACAATTACATGATTATTAGCATTCGAAGTTATTTAATACTTAAACTTCTTCATTTGTAAATAGTAAAATATAGCGATAAAACCGTAGTTGACTCGTGCAATTTATTTCTGGTTTATTATTTGATATTATTTTTTAGTCTTGATTTCGTAAATCCAATAGTTGCTGCACTTAATTTGGTCTGGGACAACTCGTAATAATAACGTACAAATATTTAATTTTAATTTTATGTGTACTACAACTATTATATTTAATTATTTATAACTGCCATGTATTACTGCACTCATGCGATCCATTCCCATTAGAAATTTAAGGCTTTCAAACCTTCTAGACGTGCTTTATTTCTGTATAATAACACTTGGATACATAAATAATATATGCAATGGTTATAATAACCTACGTGCTGTGTCATATTTATTAATGTACAGTGTAGTGTTACTATTTGTCTTTGGTCTTTGCTCGGTTTTTTACACGAATACGTATATTATAGTGACRGGATTAATTGTTTGTAAAGAATAATAACAAGAAATTATATAATACATTAAGTATACAGCATTAATCATGCAGTGCTTTATCATTAGGCCCTCATTCACGTGTACAAAACTTGTGGGTTTCAAGTTTTAAACATTAATAACGGCTTTCAAATTTATTACCCGTAGGTATACGATTGAAGTGTTATTACTGCTAAAATCTACATATTTAAAAATTCCCCCATACATGTTATTCGACGTAACGCCCATCTTGAACTTCAACTCATGTCAAACAAAAGGTTTGCAGTGTTTGCACTAAATGATATTTATGTATTCTCATGGTTGATTCTTTTAACTTCAGAATATGGACACTCGTATCATTATTGAAT